ATTACTAACTACCGATTTCTAAAAAAAATATATATATATGGGGCTCGAGAAATAAACGATGACTAGTCGGTAGACTAATTAAGATCCAATGAGTTAGTATTGTGACTTATAAAAGCAATAATCAATCTACTAAACAAAATAGATGTAAGTAGTGAGAGACATGAGAGAACGAGCAAGTAATACGAGTAAGACGCAAGTCGAATGGATGACAAGTAGGTAATCGAAGTCCAAAAGAATGGAGATAAAGCTTTAAATATTGTCTAATGTGTGAGTAGAAAGAGAAACAATTAAGAGATTTTGTTAGAAATCTAAAAGTTACACCTCCTTGTAATCATGTGAGGTCTTATTTACATTGAAAATAGATAGCCTTGACAACTAGGATGGTGCAACATCATTCAAATTTGAATGTTTTGATATGAATAAAATAAGATATGTTCTTTTGAAATAAATTGCTTCAATTTATGAGCAAATGTTAAAAAAAGTAGCAATATAGCATTCGTTTAGCATATCTTACTCCGAGCTCACTAAGCCAATCTTTTTAATGTATCCCATTGATAAGACAAAGATATTGTTAGAATACATGTATCTATTCTTGCTATTCAAAATCTTTTTATTGAGCGATGTCTATCCTCAATCTAATCTATTTGTGATATAGTTTAGACCCATGAAAAAATGAAGAAACAAAATAAAATAGATTAGCACATAATAGAAATTAGTAAATTTAATTAATTTTAAGAAAAATATTGCATATATGTTTAGCTTCTACACGGACAACCTTATGAGTAAAAGTGTTTGTGCAATTGTGTATTTAAATAAATCTACATACCTAAAATCCTTATCCACCCAACACAAAGGAAGTTGAAAAGAAAACCTTGATTGATGGTTAATCTATATATTGTATGGAATCGTTCAACTAATAGGATTAATTGATTTATCTTTTTTCTTTTATGTATTATTATTTTGGTTAGCTTTTGGATAAAAATACCCTTTAGACTATCAAAATAAAAATTACTTATGTTCAAAACATAAAAAAAAAAATTATTTTAAAAACTTAACAAAATTTGAAAACTTAAAAAATAGGAAACAATTTAAAAAGAACAAAAAATTAAAAATAAAAATTAAAAACTTCAAAGCTTGAAACATCTAAAAAGAAAAAAGAATTGACATATGAAAAAAAAACTGGAAAAAAATTACTAACTAATCAAAGATTCAAAAAACATTACCATAGATTATATAAAAAAATCTTAAAAAAAATATATGAGACCAATAAATATATACATTAACCAAAAAATGTTTGTTAAATTCACTAACCAAATTGTTATTCCTACAGTTTTTTAAGACAATTATCAACACACCCTCCACTAATATTTGTTGCATAATAATTATATATATTTTATATCAAATACCACACTCTCCACCAATATTTGTTGCATAATAGTTATATATATTTTATATCAAAAACCTAAAATGCTTATTAAAATTAACAAATAACAAAATAAATAAAGATAGTTGAGCTTGTATTGTTTTGATTTTTTTTTTTCCATCAAAATACCAAAATCCTTCAAACATAAAAATATTGAACAAAATCCCATTACAAAACTAAACCCATTGTCCTCCCCTGCTGTTGAAGGAAATATACTAGAAAAGTAACCTCTAATTCATTTGCAATTATGTCAACATCAGCTGCATTGATCTTCGCAGCAATCGATTCTTCTTTCCTATCAAATAGTACAAGTATAATATTTAGTTGAAAAAGAAAAGACATTAAATAGGTAAAAATCCAAGAAAAATATTGAAGATGTCAAGCTTTATCAAATGAGCAAAATGCTGAAAGTCTTAGAAGAAAATGCCAAAAGTCCCTCAAACATAAAAATATTGAACACAATTAAAAATAAAAATCATTCATAGACTTTAATAATTGCTACTTGTAAAACATATCATCTTTGTAGATTTTCGGTTCATGTTCTTTAGAATGAAAATAAAATATGGATAAAAAATACAAAGCCATCCAAATCATAAATTGAAAAAAAAGTATAATATGTAGAACAATAATTTAAATATGTTTTGAAAAACTCATACCATTAGTTCTTTTTTCATGAAGAAAACTAGTTGATGAGCTTGGAATCGAATTGAAATCAATGATCTCTTGCAATTCAACATGCTCAACTTTTTTAGGATAAGTACAGCAATCATGGCCACTTTTCTTTTAGACTCTTTCCACTAATTCAAATGAAGAAGGATCACATATTGTGCTATTAGAGTTTTTCTTCTTTGAACCTAATGGATGACCCTTATGAGCATGAATTCTAAGTTCAAGAATCAAAGATGGTGACAAATTAAGAAATTTGGTTTTGAACATTTTTCTTTTGCACTGGTAGTAATTGATGATATTTGTCTTGTAGTCCTTGAGAACAAATTACAATTTGGTCTTCATTGTTTCCCAAACCACCATCGGTGTTAGCAAATGATTTTGTGTCAAGTTTTTATTATAGATGCATATCATCAAGTTGCAATTCTTCACCTTGCATAATTCTCATCTTATGTGCATAAAGACGACCCATTATTTTTTTTTAAAATGATCCTTATAAATTGATTGTAGAAAGTCCGATAAGATCATTTCATATTGCTTAAACAACTCCTCTAAAGCAAATATAGAATCATAGTGAGAGTACTCATTAAAGAATGGAATGCTAAACTTCACTAGAGCACATACCTTTTTCACTAAAAAGTCTTGCCTTATTCTTTTGGAATTGATATTCAACTTGTAAGATTTATTTTTTTCTTTAATGTACGTAGATCACATTTTTCACTCTAAAGATATTTCTTTAAGATTGCACGAACACTTTAAATGAGTATAGTTATTTTTCCATACACTAACAAATTGTTTTTTGAAAGGAGGCCAAAATACTTTTGATTTAATTCGGAGCAAGAGCATACCTCTCATGTTGTTTTTCAAAAGGATGCCAAGCTTCATCAAATGATAATTCATCCGGAGACTTTATCAAATCAGTCCATAGGGATAAAAATATGTTCCAATCGTCCGCTTCTTCAAAATAACACATGTAGTTGACTAACACATTTTTTTCAATATGCCAAAGGCATAATATATTTGTAGTTTTTGGAAAAATCACATATATAGCATTCATTAGAGCTAGCTCTCTGTCAATGATAATAACTTAAGGATCACTATCAACACCTAATAATTTGTTGAACATAGTCAATGCCCATATGTAATCTTTGTTTTGTCTCCTCTCCTTGCATAAAAATAAACCAAGAATATAAAGAAGTGTTGAAACTAGACACTTCTATAATATCAAGTAATAACATCTTATATTTTTTAGTATTATAAATGTAATCCATTACAAAAATAATTGAGTAACTCTTTGTCAAAACAATTGAGCTAGAATGAGAAAAAATCAAATGTGTCAAATGACTATCTTGATCATATTTATTAGTGTAAATAAAACCACTTTGGCCAAGTTTATCTATCGAAATTTGAATTTCAGTATGCTTTACTAATTGTTCCTTCACAATTTTATCTTTTGCATTATAGGTGGTTCTTAAAATTGCTAGAAGATTTGCATTGTAGGAATACATGCTTTACTCATTTTATTTATGGGTATTATTTCTTTTTTTAAATAGATGATGAGTAGAAGAAATTTCAAAACAAGTCACTTAAAAGGTCATGATTTTGTGAAATATTTTTAATTTCAACTCTCTAAATTTCATCAATTTTTCTTTTTCCCGCTATCTCAAAAGTATATTCAGTGTGATGAGATGCAATCTTTTTTTTTTTTTTTCTCTTTTAAAATATTAGTTGCTTTACATCTTCCTCCTCTATTACAACCAATCATAACATAATAACTTTTACTGGACTTTTTAATCGTGGTAGCAAACTTGCGCTACATCCAATGAGATGAGATGCATTTTTTTCTCTATTAAAATATTAGTAGCTTTGTATCTTCCTCCCCTATCCCAACCAATCATAACATAATAATTTTTACAATTGTGGTAGCGAACTCTTGTATGAAAGCTATGCAAAAGTAGTTCTTCTCAACTTTGATAAGCTTTCATGGAAAAGCCAAGTATTTCTTGTGAACTACCTTTCAAAGTAAAATAGTATGTTAATGAATTAATAAATAAAACATTTGATTAATATAAATAGATAAACTATCCCATGTTTTTTATATCATTAAACCTCGTCATAATCATCAAAATTGATATGTCAGATTACTTTAACACTACCTAAATTTCAATATCAGAATCATCATATAGTAAATCAATAAAATAAATGCACACTCTTTTGCTCTCATTCCAGAACTTATAAAGACTCTGTCATCCTCTATTTGGCAAAAAAACCTTTTTTCATTAAAAAATCCACAAGCAAAACATCAAGAAACCAACTTAAGATATATTTATAGCAAAATTTGAAATAACGTAAAAAAACACGTGTACAATGAAGGATCAATAGCTTAAACTAAGATCAAAGAAAAAATGCCCATTATAAAAAAGATCATGTTTTCCATACGCTATAAATCTAGAAAAAACCAAGAGTATGCATGACTCCCTATAAAAAAAACACGTTTTTCATACATAATAAATTTAGGAAAAAAAAAAAAAACCCATAGTCTGCAAGATCCGATAGATCAATTGAAAATGGGATAAAAGGATAATATCATCAGCAGGTCACGAACTCTAGCTGCTCTAATTTTTTTTTTTTCTCCTAGTTGTTGCATAATTTCTTCTGTTATGTGTAAGGGGGTGGCTGTAAAAAAAAATAAAAATTGTTACTATTATATATCAAACATCGGTGAATAATATATTGATAATTATCGGAAAAAAAGGTAAAAATAACATTTTTTTTTAATTAGTGTATTTAGCAGTAACCCTACTCAAAATAATGGTTATACAGTGACAGCCATAAGAATATCCATATAGAATAGAATCCTAATCAAATGCAATTCACATTACAGGTTCGTACTGGTATGAACTCCAAGTCCATGAGGGGCGTGAGCAGCAGACACGGCAGGTTCAACTAGAATCCAAATTCCATTCTACCTAATTATCCTATTTCATCCATACATATTTTTTTAGTTATTTAAATTTTAAATACTTTACATATGAATTGTCAAAAATAAATAAATAAAATTATACATAGGAGATAGCCATGGACCTTATATATTTATGATGCCTTCTTGTACATGATCCCATCTTCACCCGCAACCAAAACCGTGCTTTAGTCTGAAATATGTTTTTCTAAAATATTTTCCTCATTTTCTTATATTTGGCTTATCTGAAAATTCTTCATTAACATAAAAGATCTCATTATCAAAGAAAGACCGATTTTAAAACAAGAAAAAAAAATTTTTTTATTCTCCAAGAGTTGAAAATATTTTATAAAATTATATATTTTTAATTAAATTATGGGTTTCATCACTAATTAATTATTCTTTTTTTTTTTTAACACTTATTTTCTTTACATGTCCAATATCAAACAATTATTTTCAAATGGCTTTTATCTACATAGCCAAATAATGAAAGATATTATTTATTTTTTCAAAACTATTTAATTTTACATTACACAAAACAAACTGAAATCTTAAACCCTTGATTTTGGGCAAAACGAGCTCCCTTTATAAAAAGAACAACAGTTAGTTAGCCCAAAAAAAACAAGAAGTTACCAGGAAACCCACGTGGCATCTATTCGGAGCAGTTGCTGGAACAACCCCTCACTTTTACCGTCACTGTAATCTCAATCCTCTGGCCCGAGCCCTCATGGACTCGCATAAGCACTGATACCTCTCTAGTCTCTCCCTGCAAGCAAATCTTGCAAACGTCCATCCATGTCTTGTAACTAAAAATCACCTGAAAAAAGATACACAATCATTAATTCACAGCCATGTCATTCACTGTCACTCACACCTCATCTCCCTCTCCTTTCTCTTCTAAAACACACCAAAGATGTCATACTTTCCCATCCCATCCAAAGCTCGTTCTCCATTTTCCCTCTTCTAAATCACCTAATTCTCTTTTTCTTCAAGCTTCTAGAAGAATCTCCGATTTAGATGATCCTCGTAATTGGAGTCGTTCGATCAACTCTGAATTCGCTGATCATCACGAGGATGACGATGAAGACGAGGATGACGATGAACAGGAGGATAGGAGTTTGGATCTGTTAGTTAAGTTTGTTTCAAATGTGTTCAAGAAGGTATCGAAACGTGCTAGAAAGGCCGTGCGATCGGTTTTGCCTGTTCCTATATCAACTAAACTGGTAATTATTCTTAATTGGATCTCTTATTGAATTAATTTTATGAAAATGATGTGAGTTTTTTTTAGGATTAATTTAGCGTGTTTTGTGGATTATATAGGTGGAATTTTCGGTGAATGGAGTTTTATTGCTGGGGTTTTTGTGGGTTCTGAAGGCTTTTCTTGAGGTAATACTAGTATTTTTAGACCATTTACATTTTTTAGCTTTATAAATGTTATTTGTTGGTGTGGTTTTCAATTCTAATTTTGCGTAATCGCAGATTTTAAGTTTTAATTAATGCGATATCTGTACAAATCGTCAAATATCTGTTTCCCTGATATTTGATTTGGACCTTGCCTTTATTAGCAACTTTACAGCAACCAAATGCTTATTGAAAACATTATAATGGCGAACTTCAGTTGTTTTCTGGTCAGAATCTTTGTTAGTTTCCTGTGTTGTTAAGTACAGTATTGGCTTCAGTGCGTGTTTAGCGGAATTTTTTTAGAATCTATTGCGAAGATTTAAGTGCATCAATGAAACTGAATGAGTTGGAAATGTGGAGGGATAGCTTGAGGTCAAAATGTGCCAGGATATCTAGAATTTAAGGAGATGACATCAGAGTAATCTGCAGTTGTAAGATTGAGTAGTAGGAGTCAACTGATGGTTAACCATTCATGGAGTAAAATACCTAAAATCAACGGGCTCGACTGTCACAAGCAACAGATCATGGATTTTATCCTCTCCTTGTTGGTTGAAGTATTGAACTATGCATCACAACAAAGGGAGAGGTCCCCAAAGTCAATGACCGAAATGTTGCCTGCATCATGAAATGATCAGAATCATGTTCAACCAGGCATATACCTGCCTCATAATGTTGGTAATAGCATCCTTGTGATAATAATGATAACATATCTTCCTGTTTGAGCTCTGGCAATTCAATTGCTTCTTATGCTACTTAGCGTGCAGGTCTGGTGCAGCTGCGTGTCTGTCCTAGATCTGTTTATTCCTGAAATGATCGACGATGGATTACTTGAATTGTCAAAAATGTCCAATTGTCTATTATAAATTGCATAGTGTCTGATATCTAGAGTTGGGCATTTCTCTCAGTCTATCACATTGGACATTAGATTTTCTATTTCCAATTTATGCATGCCCTTCTGGCATTTTAGTTGTTCATGCTGGTGCAACTTCTTGAACCAATCTGAACCATGCTTGAGGTTTTTACAGTTTGAATTGTGATGGGACCAAGAGTTTTAACCATTGTTATTGAATTATGCTTTCAAATGGAACCCTGTGAATAATTGAGCAAAGTACCATAGTTAATGGCTTGGGTTAATGTTTAGTATGGTCAGTAAGACCTAACAAGTCTGGCCTTGAGTTCATGTGCATGCAAATATTGCTGTAACTCAACTGTGTCGTAATATACTGCGATATATGCAGCAGTAGTAATTTGTGTGTTTCATCGGCATTTGTTTCTAAGTTCTAGTAGTGGATGATTGCTGCTCCCTGCTTTTCTCCCCAAGACATTCGGTAGTCTCTGAAAATGTGACCATGCTTGTTGGAATCAATGGATTGGACTTTATAGAATTTAAGATGGATCAGTGCGTGGATAGTTGTTATATTATTTTACTCACCTCTTTATGTTGGTGTTTGATGCAGGTGGTTTGCGCCCTTGGAAGTATGGTGTTTGTAAGCATCTTACTTATACGTGGGATATGGTCTGGGGTAACCTATCTGCAAGAAAGGCGTAATCTTAGGATAAATAAACTTGATGATGACCTTCGTGCATGGACTGGCACACAGCCTGCAGCTTAATTTTTCACTCTTAGAGTTGGATATGTACTTGGATTTATCCCATCCATCAAGAATAAAAGCTTCCTTGTAATCAAACTTCCCAAATCAAGGATGATGAAAAAAAATTTCATCTGAAGGTTTCACACATCAAAATAGCTATCGCTGCAGTGGAAATAATCAACTCATATGAGGAAGGTTTCCCTGTACAAGATCCAGTTCAGTGTATCCTTGTGGATACTGGTAGGGCACTAGAAAAACAAAGAAAGAAAGAGGAGATTAAATTGGATGTATGGGGGCAATTTCCCCTTCTATATCTTCACAATATAGACACAAGTTGTCATTCTTCAACTATTCAGGCTACCTGTTAACCTCATTGGTTTGATTAGTGATTTGGGAACTGTTTGAGCATGGAAGAGTTATGGTCATGTTGAAATATGGTTTTCTCACATCTTCTTCCTTTTGCTTAGTTATGCGTTAAAACTGTCATTTGTGCTTCAGATGCCTGGAAGAAGACTGAATTATTTCTTGCTGGTATTGGCAAGTACTAATTCGTGGTTGAATGACTACAATGCAACGAGTGTTCGTAAACTTTCAAATCCTCATATGCTTGCTCTCCGAAGGACTATTATTGATGTTGTGAAATTACCAGAGTAGATGCTAATTGCTAAACAATTGGCAAACCCACTATTGTCATCATCACAATGAAGTGCACAATTCAATGGTTTTTTCTTTTTTCCTTCTTTTTTTGAGCGTACAAATCCAATGGCAAGAACTTAGAATGCCAGGATTCAATTGCGCATTTAAGAAAACAGTTGCCTAAGGTGGTGCTAGTATTGGATTGGCTTTAATGTCACTGCGTCTGTTTTGCAACATTTTTGTATTCTTATATCAGACAACAAAATTCGGGCACACGGTCACATGGGTTGTGTTTTTTGGCCTTTTTTTTATAAAAAAATAGTATTTTCATCAAATGCACCAGTAAATAAAAAGACAGCACATTGGGAAAGGCCATTAACACCAAACAGGCCCAGGTAAGGTTCACGACCAGGCTGATCCACCTTCCTTTCCCTTCCCGTTGAATCAAAGTCTTAGCTGGCCACGAGCGGCAAAATTTAAAAGAAAAAATTGAAAAGAACAGAAAACCTAACTATAGTTAATACAGACCCATCACAATCTACCACGTCACCAGTCGGAGCCGTCTGTTGCCCTATCTTAAACAACCCCGGTTAAAATTCCCCAAATATCTGTTCTATAAATAACCACCCAAATCCCCCTCCCCTTCCCATCTCTTACAAAGTAATCTACAGAAGGCGTCTTGATAAACGCTTTCGTTCAAATTCTCTCTTGACTTTCGTTCTTCAATCAGATCTGTCTTTGTTTTTGTTGTAATTTTTAGTCACCGAAAAATGAGAGAGTGCATTTCGATCCACATTGGTCAAGCTGGTATTCAGGTTGGAAATGCCTGCTGGGAACTCTACTGCCTCGAGCACGGCATCCAGGTATCTCTCTCAATAGATCTGTAAATTCTGGTTTCATTTATTCGATTTTGTTGTAGATCTGATACTTTATTGGTCCATACATTTCCGTTTGTGCTTAAATTTTGAGATTTATGTCCATTTGGTTTCGATCTATGGATTGTTAATGGAATTTCTTTGCTTTTAGATAATGTGAAATTAGAATTTTTTTTTTTTTTTTTGGCTTCAGATCTTTGAATTTTTATTGTCATTTATGCTTACAAATAAATGGTATAATCGTGAAGTTTTAATCTAATAATTTTTAATTTGTGACAAAAGATTTTGTTTTATATAAACTTTTTGTCTTTTACATCAGTCCTGGTTTTCTGTGATTCTTAGTTGACATTGAAGATTTCCTTATCTTATTGATATGAATTACTTATAAATGTTTTTGTTGTATTTCTGTAGCCTGATGGCCAGATGCCAAGTGACAAGACTGTTGGCGGAGGAGATGATGCCTTTAACACCTTTTTCAGTGAAACTGGTGCTGGAAAGCATGTTCCTCGTGCTGTCTTTGTAGATCTTGAGCCCACCGTCATTGATGAAGTCAGGACTGGAACCTACCGCCAACTATTCCACCCTGAACAACTCATCAGCGGCAAGGAAGATGCTGCCAACAACTTTGCCCGTGGTCACTATACCAGTAAGTGTATTTTTACTATTCTCCTTTCTGACTATTTATCAACTGCTGATTTTGTGATTGTAATGTTCTTTTTTGTTGTTACAGTTGGCAAGGAAATTGTTGATCTGTGCTTGGACCGTATCAGAAAGCTTGCTGACAACTGCACTGGTCTACAAGGCTTCCTTGTATTCAATGCTGTTGGTGGGGGTACTGGATCTGGTCTTGGATCCCTTCTTTTGGAGCGTTTGTCTGTTGACTATGGAAAGAAATCCAAGTTGGGTTTCACTGTCTATCCATCCCCTCAGGTATCCACATCTGTTGTGGAGCCCTACAACAGTGTCCTTTCAACTCACTCCCTCTTGGAACACACTGATGTGGCTGTGCTTCTTGACAATGAAGCCATCTATGATATCTGCAAGCGCTCTCTTGACATTGAGCGGCCCACCTACACCAACCTCAACAGACTTATCTCTCAGGTATGTTATCTACGTCGTCTTGTGATGCCTTTGTGGTGTTACTGATACTCCGAATATTATTGTATGTAGCAATTATAATGTGAAGTATTTTTGGACATGGTTTTGAAATTGGATTTAAGCTTATTAAGAAGTTTATTATTCGGTTATCACAAATTTAAAGATCGCACATGTCTGACATGACTTTTTTGTGTGGCAATTGCAGGTCATTTCCTCCCTGACTGCCTCTCTGAGGTTCGATGGTGCTTTGAATGTGGATGTTACAGAATTCCAGACCAACTTGGTCCCCTACCCAAGAATCCACTTCATGCTTTCCTCCTATGCTCCAGTCATCTCTGCTGAGAAAGCCTACCATGAACAACTCTCTGTTGCTGAAATCACCAACAGTGCTTTTGAGCCCTCATCTATGATGGCTAAGTGTGATCCTCGCCATGGCAAGTACATGGCCTGTTGCCTGATGTACCGTGGTGATGTCGTGCCCAAGGATGTTAATGCTGCTGTTGCCACCATCAAGACCAAGCGTACCATTCAGTTTGTTGACTGGTGCCCCACTGGATTCAAGTGTGGTATCAACTACCAGCCACCCACTGTGGTTCCAGGTGGTGATCTTGCCAAGGTGCAGAGAGCTGTTTGCATGATCTCCAACTCCACCAGTGTCGCTGAGGTGTTCTCTCGCATTGACCATAAATTTGACCTCATGTATGCCAAGCGTGCTTTTGTGCACTGGTATGTTGGTGAGGGTATGGAGGAAGGTGAGTTCTCTGAGGCCCGTGAGGATCTTGCTGCACTTGAGAAGGACTATGAAGAGGTTGGTGCTGAATCAGGTGAGGGTGAGGACGATGATGGTGAGGAGTACATGTGAGGCGCTCTTTATGTTGTAGCCTAATATTGATGTGTCTGTTTCGCATTGTTGTATGGTTTGTTTCTCTTATGAGTTGCTGCATGTAATTGCACTCTCAAGCTTTATTGTTTTAAAGGTGTTTAGAAACCTTTTTTTATGTTATGTGCACTCTCAAGTCTATATGGAATGTGATGTGCTGCTGCTGTTCTATAAATAGTTTGATTTCTGGTTTCATTCGCTTCCCTACTGGATGTCGTTTTGTCTGAAACTCTGAATTTACTCTTTTCGGAAGAGTTACAATATTGATGCTGCAACTTCTTCATTTATCTGAAAGATGCATTAGGATGTTGTAGCATGTGTACACGTTATAAATATGGTGGTCCGTGAAGGTGTTATTGCAGGACCTGTTTTCTGAATTTTAAAATTTGAATTGATGTTCTAAATTACTGGTTTATTGTTCAGTTGAGCATAAGTTATCTTGATTTCTACATCTGGTGGCAATGAAATACGGATACATAAAAGATTTTGCGTGTGAAGCTGCTCCACAACCCGCTGCAATGCTTAAAATATCATCTAGATTTTCTTGCGTTTTCCTCTATATTGCACACGATAATCGATCTGTGCTGTTTCTCATTCATACAACCAATGGGATGTTCCCGCTGCAAGCCTTTCTGAACAAGTATCCCTTTACCTATTATATTTAATCTTCAGAACTCAAAAAACTCCTACAAGCAGATTGCAATGACACTGCCCTCAAATTAAGCCTTCTTTTGGAGAATAGTTCAACATCAGAGTCAATTACAATTTTTTTTTTTTTTGAATAAGATAATATTTTTAACTTGCAACCGACAAAAGGATGGGAGTAAAAAAAAAACCTAAGAAACAGATTTGAAAGGCTTGTAGGCGTGGAGCTCCGTAACGAGGCCTTGAACGCATGCAGCAGCAGCAACAAGTGATACAATCAAGCAAGACACGGTCAAAATCATTAGCCATGTCCAGGTGAAGGTAAATGGTCCAATTTTGGCTTGTGATATGTACATCTGAACTGGGAAATACAAAGTTAATGGCCAAAATGATATTGCACCAATGAGACCCAGAACACTGTTGAAGAATGGAAATGTCATGGCCAGAACAGACGATGCTATCACATAGGCTGTTCTCCACAATAGCCTGAACGAATTCACAGGAAAAACACCACAAAATGGAATGCGAACAGGGTGTTCGTTTGTTACGAATCCACTTGCTGGCCATTTTTTGCTGCACCAATCTTCCACAAGCTTGAATGTCGGTTGGCAAAATACCTACACACAACGCAGCATTAGAACAATTTTCTACTCTTTTTTGTTCCTATAAAAACTATTAAACTTTTCAGGTATATTTGTTGTGAGATGTGCTCGTTTTTGTTAATATGCACAGGACTAACCAACTAGGTCTCAGACAGGAAAATGAAATGGAAATGCTGACAGTAACTTTTGACATTCACCTGGTAAGCCCCAATAAGGTGAATAACAATGCACATGTTAGCAAAGTCAATGAGCCAGTAAGGCTCATAAAAACCGAATCCTGTTAAGAAGTTGCCTGGCGCCTTATTGCCGAATGCTGCATAACCCAGCGTTCCACACAACATGTAGAATAGAGTGGTTGTTGCGACTCCAACTAGTGAAGCCTTCTTCATCTCTCGGTTCTCTGGTGGGCTTGATTTTAGTGTATCCTGCGATCCATGGAAATAGTCATTTAAGGACATTTTTTTTGCAGTCTAGAGGATCTATTTCATGGAAAGTGTTGTTCGTGGTAAAAGAAAACCGGGTAACTTTCTTGTCCCTGGACCTTCTCTTCCCTGAGTGTATGCGTGCTGAATCTGCTTGATAGCTAATAAATTGAGGTACCTGTATCTCAACAAGGATTGAGGTATACGTATAGGCAAATGCAATGTTTCCAATGGCTTGAAAGCAATTCCAAGCCTTCTCTGTGCTTGTCACATCCACCCCTACCACTGTTCCTGTTAGGCTTGTTTTAACACGGTTCCCTCCTTTAAAAACAAAGAAAATAGTGCCACATCAAACTAATCCTCATATTATTTTTTTTATCACTATCAATATTTTGACTGAAAAATACAACTACAGTTAAGCCTGAGAGTCAGAATTGATGTTTTGAATTGTTAATTACTGACCTGCAATTTCAGCTATGGAAAGACCGATACCGATCAATGCGTACGCAAAAGACATGATAGCAGCGAGGGTGGAAAGCCCGGCAAGCTTATGAAAATTAGGTAGTTGGCTCATGATGATTTGTACAATCCCAAATATAATCATGAACATATTCGTTGATGCATGGCACTCTGCTTTATGGCCCTCCTTGTGAAAGCAGTTTGATCTTTTAATTGCCCTATTTATTGAAGGGAAGGGAGAGCAAAAAAAGACCAAACAGTTTCAATATGGAACAAAAATCCGTTATTGTACCGGTTACAACGCATTAGCCTTGCTCTATGGGGATCATAATGAAATTTCCTGTCAATAACTACAGAAAAAAAAAGACCAAAAGATTGAAAATTTGTGGGAGCTTACGCCATGCTTATAGATGCGGTGATGGTGTATCCTATTGATGTTCCTACAAGATTTGTATATTGAGATATCCCACAAAGTATGTACTTGATTCCTCCTACAAAGAAAAGATTAGCATCTGTAGGTTCTAACTTCTAACCATAGAATGAACAATAAAGAGCAAAATGGCAGCAAGAGATGAGAATTCCTGATTACGAACCAACAAAAAATTCGATGATGATGATGAGTTCAATAATTTTTGAAGCTACTATACTAACATTTTTTCAAGGGAATGGAATATGCTGTTGATGTTGCCTACCTAAATGAGCTTTTACAGCACCCATGTAAGTGTAGGTTCTTGTCCCTTCATGGGGACCTGGGAACCTATAACAGTCAGCTAGCAGACAGGAAGTAAACCAAGTGACGACAGAGAAGATTAGGAGAGCAATAGGTCCTGCAATCCAACCCAATTGAGCCGTGGCCCATGCAAGAGATAGAACGCCAGATCCAATAACAGCTGTAATGATATGTGCACTTGCAGCCATCAAACTTCCTGCAAGGGAAAAAAAAAAAAAGACGAGCAAAAAAAAACTGAAAAACTTTTGCCACGATGAAGTAAAAGAAACAGGAAATGAGAGATTGATGGTGGATCTAATAAACCGAAAAAAGCGATACCTGTTCTCTTTAAGCGACCATCATCATCAGTTTTTACAATGTGTAGAGCAAAGCTTTGCTCGTTTACTGGCCCTGTAACCATGTCTGCCTTTCGGTATCCCAGAGATGTGTCTGAAAAGAAAGATAAATGGAGCCTTGGAGACTGCTGCCTTCACTCTTGAGAGTACAAATGGTCAAACTGAATATAAGCATAAGCTTTAATACAAGGAGAATCGAGAGGGGAGCTTTAAATCAGAATAGGCAGCTAGTTGCTACAAACGTTTCTTGTCCATGTGGACAAACAACTCAGGACATATTGCTTTGGTAGGTATATCTGGAGCCTAATGTAAAAATTGACAATTTAAGTAAATACTAATAGCATTCCACTCTCTCCAGCCCTTTCTCCTTTCCTGTCTCTTCAAAATATAATGTGGATTTGTATCAACACATATCAAGAACCTATATAGAAAATGCCAGAACAGATTGAAAGAGAGATGTCTAAGGAGACAACCAACCAGACAAGTTAGTTTTTTTTTTTTTTTTTTGGATTAAAAAAAAAAAGGAATGTATTGACATCCGTTGTCTTTTCAAGTTTTCCTGTATGTTAACTGCTTTTCTAATTTCAGAATAAATAATAGTTGAGGGCTCGGATAGAGGCTATCTTGGAAAGAACTGCAGAAGCAAACCATACTTTTAACCATAGATTGGGTTTGATTAAAAATTCAGAAAGATAGAATAAAAAATTTTCATTAAAAAAGAAAAAAATCCGGTAATTTTTTCATTTGAATATTATTAGAACATCTTTTAATTTGAAAAATCTAGATGATCTCTAAAATATTAATTGATCTGTTTATGATAGCCAAAATAAGTAAAAAGATTAAAAAAAATAATAATAATCATTTTTTTTTTACTTTTTTGAAGTAAAACAAAATTTCTTTCTTGCCGTGAATTAAAAAATAAAAACAAACAAAGAATTAAAAAAATTGAGAGGTAAATAAATAAATAAATTTAAAGCAGTAGTGCTATGAAATCGAAGATACTCCTTGTTATAGTGTCAAATGAATGTAGAGTAAATTATAAACTAATCTTTTTAATTTTGAGAAAGGAATTCATTAGTTCTTTTTATTTCAAAAAATATTTATTTTTTATCTATTTTGTGTTTTTAATTTATGTTTTTTTAAATATAAAAAAGGAAAAACTAAATAGAATTTATTGAAAAATTAACCCAAAAAAAGACATTTTTAAAAATAAAATAATAAATTAAGCATAGTAAACACTGTTTAAGTGACTAAATTAGTTTTTAAAATAAATAAAACTAATTTGAAAACTAAAAGGCTTAAATTATTTATAATTTTATCATGTGAGAGAACGTAACATTTCATTACTTACGAAATATTGATAAACTTCTCCACTAAAAATAAGAGTGCGTGATTCGTCCAGAAAATGTAAGCTTTTCTGCCATTTTAGTGTCAGAATCCAATTGAGGTGTTCAATAAGTTCTTGTTTCTAGGTAAGATAATTAATGACAGCACCTCCTTCTATGCCAAATGAGAAAATTCACAAATTCTCATCAGCCATCCGTAACTGTCCAGGACATTCATCATTCACAGGATTTTACTAATTTAATTAGTTTTGTTTATTTAAAAAATCCCAAAATAAATAAATAAATAAATAAACTCAAGACAAAATCCTCTAACTCGGGTTAATTGAAACCTTCTCTAATCAAACTTGTTTTGACTAGTTTGATCTGGAAGGGAAAAAAAGTCACTTAAAAAATTTAAACCCTGCTGCTGCATAAACAATGAGACCAATAACATCTTTCATGCCATTCCAGCAGGCAACTAGAAATTAAAAATATTGTGAAAGATGGTGATCATCCATCCAACTCTTGAGGGTACATGGTAATTGGTATCATAGTATTTACAACGAGAAAGAATTAACAAGGCCAGACAGAATATGCTGCAGAAATCTATAATTGAAATTTTACTTAGAACTGTTTTGTGCTTCATTTTAAACTAGGAGCTATTTGAGATATTCTTTCATCTTCCAGCATTTCATATGGATCAATATACGGTGGTGGTGAGACTGGTGCATCCCTTCCATCATGAACGAAACTTGGCCCAAAGTACTGCCCAAAAAACAGGAAACATATCAGTAAATAGTTTCCATGAGACAAACAAGCGTGCACAACCAATATGATGTTGAAGACTATTCGACTCTCTCTAAAACATTAACAACCAACAGCAGATTTACTAAGCATAAGCAGAGACAAATCAAAGAGGTTAAGAGAAGCTAGCTGGGAACATAAGTAAAAGTTCAAATGAAAATTTACAAGGCTACATACACTCTAAAATCTCAACCACCTTGAACTCAAACTCGAATCAAGTTTGCAAAGATATGGACCACCATATAGCTATCAAAAGAATGCATGTGACATCATGCTGAAATAAGAAGTGGACTCACAACTCAATAGAGAAAAAACATCCCCTCAAAGACACAGTATTCTCCATAATTTTTCTGTTTTTCCACCTAGTAGTACAATGTTCCAAAATTGAAGGAAGTAGAGGGCTGAACCGTCCGGCACCCAACTCAAAAAATATGGTCAAATTACTGTAGGGTAAGATGTCTATTAGTTAACCAAAGATCTCCTTGAGCTTGCCAGTCCATTCTTGGCTATATAGAAAACTACAAGATTGTTAAGAATTTGATCTTATGCCACTAGTTTAATGAATCCTCCTCAACAAAATATCATGATGAACATTTGAAGAGATATTTTATGTTATCCTACCATTATCGTTTGTGTATGTAAACTAAGTCTGATCTCATAGCCAAGCCATCCCTATTTATAATCATGGTAACTTGAAAAACAAGTGGACATACACAAAGCCCCAACAGAAACACACTATATGACAGTAGCCATTTTCAGATCTCAAATTTCAATACACCACATTACTTGACCACCTTCCACCAAAAGCCAAAAGGCATATTTCAAATAGCCAAATAACATGTCAGTAGAACTAATGATAACATACCACCTTAACCTAATGCAGAACCAAGTTTGGACAAAGAAACACCAAACAAATTTGGGAATGATCCATAGTAGCATGTGACATAGACAATTGGACATGAGTGTAACTGAAAGATAACTTACAAAGTAGAGACCAGAAAAAAATGTAACGGTTATTAGAATCAACGGCCAAAATCCCAAGAAGAAAGTTCCTCCAATAGTGAGCAAAAGTTTAGCCCGAGGAATTAACCCCTGAAACAGAGAAAACATGTAAGCCCATCTTAGCATACCTGCCCTTAGATGTGCAAATGAAAAAAAAAAAAAAAAAATCTATTTCCAACTAAAATAAGGACTAAATAAACAACCATATCTGATTTAGCGGAAAGAAACAAATATAACAGCCAAGTATTGACAGCCATTTAGGAAGACCAACAAAACATAATCTCATTAACTTTAGACTACAAAAAGCACCAGGAGCTTCAACATGAACAAGATAGTAATGATTCATTCAGGATCAGTGCCATTAGGACACGTTTAGATATAGGTAAGAAAGTATAAACACCAAAAGTTTTGGCATGGCATGATTAATAGAACATTCAAGCAATACTTCGACAAATAAACAAAGGGCAAAACAAACTTTGAGAAGTAAACAAAGAGCAAAGAAACAAAATTAACCTCAAGTCCTTCACTATTAAGAGCCATTGACTTCTCCCTTTGATTAGACAAACTTTCATTAAGTTCAGTAGATACTGAATTTCTTTTAGAGAAACCCCTATCTTTCTCTCCTATTTTCATTTCATCTTCCACTCCATAATTGCCCCTATTGGTCTCTTCAAGCAATGAAGTTGGAGCCATACCCCTCCTCTTCAGTTCCTTCATAAACAATGACTCTGGTGGCTCTTCCCCTGTGAAAAAAAAAAAAAAAATACAAAACCCTCTTCACTAGGCAAATCCACGAACTAATAACATAACTATTAACAAAAAGTTACTGTTTTGTAATATGAGATTACAAAAAAAAAAACCAATAAAGTTCGAAACTTTGACATGAATATTGAAAACCAAACTTGCCATTTCTTTGACTATTATCTTCTTCTTGGACCGAACAAAGAACTTTAAACTTTTGTGGTCTCTCAAAAAATCTTCTTGAGCTTCCACACAAAGTTGTCAGCTTGAAAATCGTTTTCCTGGAATTTGATTTCCCAAGCAAGTTTTTTGATGGTGAAATGGAAAGTGGGGAGAGAGTTGATTTCAATATGTGTAGAGAAGCCATTTTGAGGTGGCTTTTGGCATCAAGAGAACGAGTCTAGAAGTAATGAGAGGACTTCAGATCATTTTTTAAAAATGAAAAGAAATAAAATAAAATAAAATCAGAAGAATTGAAGTTTGTTTTTGTTTTTAGATAAAAGAAGGAAGGGGTGAAGACAAGAGGCGGATTTTGTTTGTTAGCGTCCCGAGGTGGGCGTATTATAGCGAGCATATGTTTTATGGAACTAACGTACGCATAAATGATGCGTCTGTTGGATGGCTTTTGTGGCTAGGAGGTTGGGTGATGTCATTTTTTTTTAGGAAAGGAATGCCACACAATTTACTCTCCACAAAATTGATAAAGCAAGCCAAGAAAAAATAAATAAATAAAAAGGTAGACGTGAACTATGAAAATAGTGATTTATGCGTGGAAGAAAAATCATCAAGTCAATTGTTAGGAAAATAAATTATATGGTGAATAAAAGATAATTAATAATAGATCAAAATATTACTTGAAATAATTATTATAAATTATAAATAAAACTAAAACAAAAACACTGTATAAATTAGTAATTCTTTTGTTCACTCGCAGTCAATTACAATGTGAATTTTGCTGCTTGAAGGAAGTTTGCCAAAGTTTTTATACTTTGATCCCTCATTTTACAAAAACTTTTGTTTCAATCTCAAACTTTATTTATATTGCATTCTAATCCCTAACTACTTGAAGTAGAGAAAAACAAATATAGAGAGGGGGGACAATAGGGTCCCTTTTTATCACTTTGACCTTTTTATCACTTTGACCGTCAAATTTACCACTAATGTATTGGCATTTAATAATACAATCTGTTTATAATAATTACAAGTTATGAAATTATTGAAAGAAATAGATCAGAATTTGAAAATATTTGAGTTTTTTTATTTGGATTTGAATTTTTTTATGTATTTTATGTATGTTAAAATAATTTTGAATGAGTTTTTTAATGTTATTTTTTTAATTTGAGATGTTTTGAGACAAAATGGAGTTGAATTCAAGTTTGGAGAGGTTGAAAATTAAAAATTCGTCTCTTCGATGATATTTCTAGTAAACTACTCTTAGTTGAAAATTACATACAGACGACACATAGTCTGCTGCCTAGAGAGCAAATGACGTGTCTTCCGGTTTTTTCTCCCCCCACCCCGCCCCCACCTCTTTTTTTTTTTTTTTTGGCCGGAGGTGGTGGGGTGCTTGAACCAGGCTCAAGTGCACAAGCCTGCTTCCTAGGCTTTTTTTTTTTTTTTTTTCAATATTGATTATTTCTTTTATGGTTTTTTAGAGAAAAAATTATAGAAGATTGAATTTTTTTTTTTTTTGTGTATTTCTCATGCAGTCTGACGAACCTAAAATATATATGATATGTTGTAAATAATTTATGCCGGGTTATTTTTAAATTTTTAATTTTTTTTGTTTTATACTACACACTCTCAATCAACTAAGTATAGTCATGATGTATAAAAAATATTAAATCATCGATTTTATTAAAAAGTAATTATGCATTTGCACATATAATACAAACTATTTGCTATTATTTTTTTAATATTATAAAACTAATTTCTTTGAAATAAAATGATTGAAGTAATTTTTTAAAAGAATCACCAAATAATTTAAATACAGTTTTTTATACTAATGGTACTGATTATTTTGTGAATATATATATATACATATATATATCAAAAGCATGTATTTTCAAAAAATAATATTTTTATCAACATTAAATAAGAATTTTTTTATTTGTCAATTTTTATATAATTCTATACATTAATTGTAATTTTATTTTTCAGATATAATCTTATGAAAAATATATTTTTAATTTTCTTTGAATTGTGAATTAATATTTCGGTTTAAATTATTACAAGTTTTTGTTCAATAATTAAGAGGCAAGAAATAATGAATCATGTTTTTTAAGTAGAAATTTTATAAATAAAAAATAATAATTAATTAAATATATAAAATAATTTTGTTAACTCTGATCACATGTAAGATAGTTCGAGCAATCAACTAGTTACCAACTATATTATTATCTCTTTTCGTTGGTTTTTATTCTTTCCATCAAGTGTTAGTCAATTTTTTCCTCACGTCGCAGCGATGCTCAGCTCATTGAACTCTTCATGAACTTTTCTTTCTGTTTAGCTCTGTGAAGGGTCTTATGTATTAATTAGTCAAATAGTGGTTATATGATTGGTGAGACAGAACCATCTGACACTCAATCCAAAAGGAAACTACCATCCAAGGATTTTATTTTATAATCCATGTCCAACATGTTTCTCTGCATTGTTTGTTTTTCCCTCTTTTCCATTGCCAAACCTACAAACATAAACTCAAGGGCAGGTTGGCATAGAATTAGACACAATGGTTATTTTCTTTTTTCTTCTCCTTTGAGATGGTGGTAGATGGGAAACATGCTAGAAATCACCGTTAACTAAATTTCAACAAAGTTTGAAACATATTGAAGCTTAATTGTTTGCGTGATTGATTCTTCACAGGGAAAGAGAGGGAACCTTACGCTTTACACGCTACTTTCAAAATTGATAGAGACGTAAATTCCAATTCACGTCCCTTATGCACTTTTTATCTTAGAAACTTTGTTATGTAGCGTAATTATTGGAGAATAAGATCCGTGTACACGCCGAGGAGTTTGGTTAGTAAGAAAGAAAATTCTACAATCCCTTCATTTTGTTGGGGTGATCCATGCCTTTCAATGCCTTTGCCTTTCTATGTACCATGCATGGCAAATTAATTTTTCAATGGCCAAGATACTTTCTACTATTATATGTGTTATAACACACTAGTATCTTTGTTATTTAGCAAAATTTGAGCTTAGATTTTGCAACCACGTTTCAACATAAAATTCCAGTTTTATATTTTTTGGATTTAAAAATTTCACTGATGTTGACAAAGAAATAGTGATTTAGAGATCTATAAATTTATTGTAATGAAATCTTTCATTTAATTATTCTTTTAATCAATACAGCGGTACTATTTCTTATGTCTATCGTCGGGAAAATATTAATATTTTTTTACTCTGTTTTAAACAAAGACAATACAATAATTGGGTTTCAACATCAATTTAGAAAATACTAATTTTATAACGCTCATGACAATATAGAGCATCTTGGCCATTGAAAATTATTTTGCCACGTGTGTTGCATAAAGAAGCAAAGTCACTGAAAGACAAAAGTGGAAAATCAAATCAAAATTAATTATAAATTCCATAAAACTGAAACAATTGCTATGTTCACAAGATGATCAAACTAGTCATTGTTTAATCTTAAACAACTATCTAAATTTCACTTTAAATCAACTCATATCATCAATAATAAGCATAAACATGACACAAACAACAATCAATTTTGCCTTGGAGAAGTAAAAATTTGGAGGAAGAGTTATCTAAAACAATGGAAAGTTTAAAAATCATAATGACCAGCGTAGAAAACTAGAGAACTAAGAAGTCTGGGGACCAAATTGCATTATTTCATTTGCTTGCTGGATTCTGGAAAATCGGCCATAATCTGGAAATGATGTCAAGTTTCGAATAAATATCGCCGGCGAAACCCCCAACATTAATCTAAATTTTTCGATTTTGTTTTTCACTAAAAAACACATCGATCTACCATACTTTCCAAAAGCTTGTAAACTCAACTCTAAATTTAAAAATTATTTTCCAACAACCTTTGAAAGAAAATTTTTAATTTTATATTTTAAATCTAAAAACTTTAAATCCACATATTTTCTAATTTTGAAAATGAAATTGTCCATGTTAAATGTCTATGAATTTATTTAATGATGTTTTCAATCGATATGATCGGATATCCTTCATCTGTGAAGGAAAAAAGTCAACTCAATTCTAAATTTAAAAATTATTTTCCAACAACTTTTCGAAGCAAATTTTATATTTTAAATCTAAAAAATTTTAATCCACATATTTTTTAATTTTGAAAATAGAATTGTCTATGTTAGATGTTTATGAATTTATTTAATGATATTTTCAACCAATGTGATGATCGGATATCCTTCATGTGTGATGGTGGGAAGGTGCGGTTGACCTTCTTCTTTTTTTTTTTTCTTTTTTTTTTTTGAAATGAAGGAAAATGTAGTGATTGACCTTGAAGACCAATTCAGGAAATAATTCTATGTTACGAGGCACATGAAAATGCGAAGCATCTGGACCGTGGAACAGCTTTGTGCCAAGTGTCATCATAGAGAGGCAAAGACATAGATCATCAGAAGGACCCCAGTCAGAAAGAAGAAATTCCAACACGGAGTTTCTTTTAGGACCATGTCTGAAACCTAAATGAAACTTCCAAGTTTCTGCCTGCCAGTTGAACCAAGTAATTCCAAAAAACTATAGCCTACCTGAATAGATGGCTGTTGCAGCAATAGCCTGTTACGACCCGGGAGTTCCTTTTTTATTCCTCCTAATAGCCTACGCCAAATATGGTTTTGCATGATATGGACAGGACATATATTGTTCACACCACCTCATGAGCTTTAGTATTTTCTATTTTCGATTGCCAAACTCATAGTCCTGAGAGCAGCATATTTTTCTTGCTTAAAAGAGAGAAAAAATAAATAAATAAATAAAGCCTTTGTGTTCGTTCATCCATGTTAAGGTACAATGCAAACTATTTGTACTCTTATGTATCATTTTGAGGTTTGAACATTTCATGGGTTAGGCGATACAGGTTCTATTTATTAAAAGAAGTATGTCACATCACTAGAAGTCATCAGAGGTGTGTGCCAATCATGTGGGACAAAATAATGCCATACTTAAAGCCACGGCAACAGATTTTACTTGGAGCACGGAGAAAAACCCCTACATCAATTAGGACAATAAAACCCCACTGGAGAGTAGTGTTTAGGGCCGAGAATAACCTTCCATTCTAACTTCTGTTAGGGAAAATTGCTGAACAATTATACCATTTTTTTTTCAATCAAATATATAAATTTTAATTTTTTTATTTAAATATATTATTTTTTAAAAAAATATCAATTAAATTTTTTTATTAATTTTTCGTTAATTAATAACCTATTTGTCACTTTAGAATACTAAATTACTTTTTTTTTAATGGAGTATATGAATTTTATTTTTTTATTCGAATATATCAATTTTTTTCATAACTATCAATTAAGTACGTCAATCAATCTTTTTTGTTAATTGATAATGTGTTTGAATACAAAATTATAATTTTATCCCTTTTTTTTTTTTATTGAAGGCTCTTCAAATTATTATACCATTTCAAAATTTGACAAAAAACTAAAAAATATATATTATTTCTTTAGTTATAAAATTTCAAACTGAACTCACTTAGATTTTTTCTTTAAAAAAAAAAAAAAACCCAATTAGGTTTAGGAGTGAAAATTAAAAGAAGACACATATAAATCTTTTTTATGAAAAATCTCACATTTGTGTTTTTTTTAACTTTCACATTCAAAACCTAGCTAGGTTTTTTTTAACAGTAAGTCTAGCTAAGTTTAGTTTGAGATTTTATAACTTAAAAATATCTATTTTTAATTCTTTGTCAAATTTTGAAATTGTTGAATAATTTGAGAAGAAAATATCTTGCAACAAAAGGAAGTAAAAAAAATGTAATTTGATACAGTAACACATCATCAATTAATTAATAAATTGACAAAAATACTTAATTAAAAATTTTTTTTAAAAAATTGATATACTCGAACAAAAAAATCTCAAGTTCATGTATTCAATTGAAAAAAATGATAAAATTATAATTTTGATATTATAAAGGTGATGGACATATTATTAGTTATAACAAAAAATACTTGGTTGATAGTTTTCAAAAAATTAATGTACTAAAAAAAATTAAAATTCATATACTCAATTAAAAAATTAATATACTTACAGTGCAATTATCTCACTGTTCGTACAAGTTTCCCTGACGTTTTGATGCAGGCAACATGTGGTAAATATGGCCAACTTTATTTCTGGTTGCAAATATTTTTAAATATCAGAACCTTATATGCGCCTGATATGTAGGCTCGGGAATTTGGTATCTAATCGGATAGCAATCAAGCATAATTTACAAGAGAAATTTTCCTAATTTACAACACACATTTCATTTGATTGAATGGACCATTCACCATTTTGTATCTACTATTATACTGTGCATTCGCTTTCATAACAGATAGATCCAAGTTTCATTCACAAGATTTCCTTTTAACATTGAGGATTAGTTCACTCAAAATCATCACAATGGAACAAGATCAAGAACCACGCAAATAAAAAGGGCATGTGCACCTTCTGCCTCAGACTCAAAGTTTCCTCTGTTACTTTACCTTTCCCTGATACCTATGGTAGATAAGTGAACAGTATTCAGAAGGGAGAAATTTCCTAAACAATGGTCTTCACCTGGATTGATTGGAAAGTCGTCGAACTTGCATGTGTTGGAGTTAAATCTGAGACCACCAGGACAGTATCTCCGTCTTTTAACACCCCCTTTGTTCTCATCAGATCAACGGTTTTTGAGATGTTGGCTTCCATATCGTCTGATAAATCAACAAGAAGTGGGATAACTCCCCACTGCAAATTCAAAGTCATCCGAGCATTACTGTCACTGGTAAACGCAAATATGGGAGGGTAGGGCCGATTGCGAGATAGAAGTGATGCCATTTCACCATGCTTTGTGTACACAAAGATAGCATCTACACCAAGGTTGTTAGCTGCAGAACAAGAAAAACCCGCATAAATTTCAAATAGTCATGGCCTGGATATTTTGGGGGATACTCCAAAAGTTAGTATCATATGTGTGCTTATATGTTCAAGAGAAGGAAAGACCATGCACTGATGATATATCAAGTACAATACTAGCATATTTCACTGGACTTCTACTAAAACCCAATGGGTTCCAAATGTTTACATATCTGATATATTTAGGGATGGCAGCACATCAAGAACAACTAAAATCACACATTTGGTCATCATTGAAATTAACTACAACAACAAATCCCACGGCCTTTCCCCTTCAACATCTTATTCATAGAGAATATGAAGTTCAAAATCTGAGGCATTGCTACAAATTATAATTTAACTGAATGCAGGCTGATGAACTAAGCCAGTTCATTAAGGTACTACACAAAAGCCTACTCAATACAAGAATCATCAATTGACTCTTGGCTCAGTATTGTCTAAGGTTGGAATAATTATGTAATATTGTAGGAAAGCTACTGTTTTTGTCAATAAATTTTCTCAGTTCATAGAGAATGTAGAGAAGATGATTTTTGTTTAGAAAAAATGTTGAAAACATATTTGGAGAAAAGGATTAGCACCTGTCTTACCACCTATCTACCTAATACTTCACTACACAAATGTCAAAATTTAAAGGAATGTTACAAGAAAACTATACCCATTTGAACAGCACAATTGCATATTTCTTCAGCGATGCAATCAGACAATGAATCTCCCAGCTGACGGTTATGAAGAGCACATTGTTGGTTTTCTTCACGACTCCATAGTTCCATTCGACTGCTAGCCATCTGCAAGACAAAAAGAGCCTTCTGCCCATTTAATCCAATAGCTGATTCACCAGACAACATCAGTGCATCTGTATACTGTCGAACAGCTTCAGAAACATCTGCCACCTTATCAAACAAAAGAAGTAGTCAGTCTAACAAAATTTCAACAAGACTATACATTGTTTTTCTTTACAGAAAGAAATGCACGAGCCCTCTAGAACAAAACAGCTCCTTAGACAAGACATTTTAATCTCATGAATAGACGTCTCAATCTGAATAGCTCTATTGTTTCTCTCAATCCAACTATTCCACATTCAGAATAAGACAGGGATCCAAATTCTTGTCATGTCTAACAAAAAGCAGCTGCCACCATTCCATTAGATGCGATACTTGAAAGTAACGCCTGTTTAATTCCAAAATAAGTTGAATGGATTTTCCAAGATCTCTCATGATCAAACAGTGAATTAAGTTCCTTTTCCGCTTCTTTATCTGATTTTGTAGATTCACATATAAATTTTCGATCTGTCATTTAATGTAGAGCTTTTAAACTGCCTGCACAAGGTTTGATTCTTTTGGCTTTCTACTTTCAAGAAAACATCTTATCATAAAAAAAACATTTAGGTGTTTCTCTCTCCCCATCCCCCAACCAAAATATTAATTTGCAATAACAATAGATGTTGTCCGTAATACCTCAGCACGTGTTGGAGTTGGATATTCAACCATTGATTCAAGAAGTTGAGAAGCAATAATTACTGGCTTGTTCAGCTGCCTGCATAAACGAGTAACGTATTCCTGGACTGTTGGAATCTGTTCAAGTGGAACTTCAACTCCTAGGTCACCACGAGCCACCATGATTCCATCAGATGCCTCCACAATTTCTTCCAACTTCTGAAGAGATTCCAAGGTCTCAATTTTTGCCAGTACTCTTATTGATCTGTAAGTGACAGAAAATCTTTAAGCTTCATACTTCGTTTTCCAGAAGATACTAAGTAGCAGGAAAGAAAATGAAAACAGTTATATCAATGAGGTTAGCGAACTTAGTAACATGTAGGACATAGATTAACACTGTTTCACAAATATGGCAATGTAATATTAGCTACATATCTGCACAGACAAGGCATGTTTGGCGGAGAGATGATTCTTCAGATCGAAAGAGGAAAGGAAATTGATATGTGGGTAAATTACATGAGATCTCAACTTGGTGAATGCGTTCTTACTTGGATGATTTGGCGGAGAGATGATTCTTCAGATCCTTGATAGAATCAGCATCATTTACAAATGACATGGCAATAAAATCAACACCTTCAGAAATTCCAAAATCAACATCTGCCCAATCCTGTAGATCATTCAATGAGTATAACTGATAAATACATCAGAGCATAAAACCAAGGATTTCTCACTAACAATAGCTACCATTCTCATCTACGTAAGCCTGGTTGAGTTCGAAATAAAAAAAAAATTGAGGAAGTAAGTTTCTCACCCACTGAATTCTACTAAAGACAAAGTAAGCAATGTTTTTTTGTCAAGGAGCAATAACGATTACGATGCGGAGAGCCTATCCTTCTATTTTTACCACTGAATCCATGAACTTCATGACATTATGGCATAGATCGCTGGAAATTGACAGAAGTGCTGCTAGTTTGTCTGTAGTGCCAAGTATGCAAGTTGCAGAATTGCAATTTTATTGTAGTGTCCTGGAGTCAAATAACCTAATGTACACCGTAAAGGTACTGAATTTTCTGAATCATACTTTGAGAAAAGCAAGCGAAACAGATAGCAGACTGCAAAAGTTGTGATAGCTAATGCAGACATTTAGCTCAAGACCAAAATTATAGTGTGATTAATATAACCCGATAACATGAATCGACCACACCATAGAATGTCAAAAATTGTTGAGAGAAGAGAATAATCATAAATAAACCTTTGTTGATAGAGTTGGAAGGCCGTGATAGGAAAGCTTCCCATCTCTCCAGAAGCTTAATTTGGCTCTAGGTAGGAATAGACCAGGATCTGTACACTTGCAACGCAAATCATTCCCCATCTTTTCAACAACTTCAAACCTTGCCATTCCACCGTCAATAACCAGTTCATCGCCCATCATGATGCCTGCCGATGATTCAATTTTATTGAGATAAATTACAATAAAACAACAATTTTATTTTTTTTATAATTTCTTCCGAGGTTTAAAAAGTAAAGGATAAATGACCCAGTGAGCAATAAAATAAATTCACTACCTTCAGAGAAGCCTTCATAGTTGGCTTGCACAGTGAATGGACGAGAACCGTCAAATTTTTCAGATGTAAATACCCAAACCGAACCTTCCTGATGCCGCAATAAAAACAAAATCCATCAATTACAACAAATGTTATTAGAATCCAAGATTAGAAAGAGTATATAGTCATGTTTTTCCCTAATTAAAGCAAAACTAAATACGGGGTTCCAGTTATGCTGCATTCCTGCTCCTAATTCTCTTAAATTAACAGCTACTAAAAAATGTCAAACTACTCGAATTAAGGGAGAGAAAAAACACCAATAGTAAGCACGGATTAACCTCAAAAAAACAATGGGATTATAGTTAGATACCTCTGCTTTGAGAGAGGAAGGAGCTCCATGATCCACAACATGAATTAGGCTACCTTCAGTATCAATCATAACCGAAACAGAAAACCCTTTCTCCTCATTCAACTTCTTGATTTTTCTAATAACATCACGATGCCACTCTCTTGTGTTATGACACATATTAAGCCTGGCCACATTCATCCCTCCCATTGCCAATCTCTCCAAATCCTCCATAGAAGAACAAGCAGGCCCTATAGTGCACACTAGCTTTGTCTTCCTCATCCCCAAGAACCCTTTTTCTCTCAACTCTCTCTCAGCCACCACATCAAACCCGAGATCCAAATTCACCTCATAATTCTTCAAACACTTAACACCAGCTTCTGCCACTGCTTTTACTGCAATCTTGCCATTACTTCTCCGTTTCCTTACATTGCAAGAAATTAACCCACCAGAAATACTCACTGGTTTTCCAAAAACCCTTTTGTTTGAATCAAAAGTTGGACTCTTTGCAAAGATCTTTTGAAGCATTGAATCACTAGAAACTGCCATGGCTTATTTTGAGTAAAAGAAAGTGGCTTATTTTGAGCAAAAGAAAGTGGAGGTCTCTTTTTTTTTCCCCTCTAACAATATTTAGTTTTGAAAAGTAAAAGTTTTGAACTGTAGGGCAGGTACGTTAACTGAATCGATGATTTTGATGATGAATTTGCGGGTCTTGTCTTATATCGTAATCTCCGCTGGACGCTTGGAGTTTTGTACAGTGGGAGTGGAGATTACAAAGGGTTTAGTGATTGGTCATTTGTATTTAACTAATAGTCTAATTCTATTTTAATAGGGTTTTAGGTAATGGAAACAATAAATTATTTGAAACTGGAGAATTTAACGGTCAACTACCCTTTGAAAGGGAAAAAAGACGGGAACAAGGTTTTTGTGCTGCTGGACTTATGGGTCATTTAATTGAAAATGAAGGGCAGCGTAGAATTAAAAGTACAACAAACAATGCAGCAATAAAAAACCAAATGCTAAGCTGGTCGAAGACAATTTTACCGCTGAAAAGAAGAAAAAAAAACAAAACCAAATGCTGGCTGCTTGGCGCACAAATATGTACGGACCGCAGACGGTGGTCAGGGGTTATGTGTGACATGGTCCGGGCCCAGGGGCGAGTGTAAACGTATGGTCCCATTGGACCCAAGACTATATGTCATAGTAAAGTTTCTTTCAATGAGATCTTGAGTCGTTTTCCAACCAGATTTCTTTTAGAAGGTTTCTAAGCAAATTTTACTTGTGGCAATTACATTACAATTACAATTACAATAAAACCAAACGAAAACGAAAAATCATTATAGCATTTTACTATTTTTTAACTTGTGGCAATCTTTTTTTTTTTTCCATTCTCGCCGAGGCCTCTTTTGGCTTTTAGTTTTTTTCCCTCTCTTCTGCCGCGAAGGCTTCTTTTGACTTTTTATAAACTTTATTTTTATTTTAATTCCTATTTTATAGTTTTTTTAATCATTTAAATTGTATTAAATTAAATTTTTATTCCTATAATCAATGTTCATTAACTATTCATTACAATAAAACTAAAAAAAAAAATCATTGTAACATTTCACCACTGTTCATCCTCTTTTTTTTTTTCTTCTCGCCAAGGCCTCTTTTGGCTTTTAGTTTTTTTCCTCCTTCTTCCGCCAAGGCTTCTTTTGGCTTTTCATAAACTTTTATTTTTATTTTAGTTTGTAACTTTTTTCTTTTGGTCTTTAAATTTTATTAAATTTGATTTTTATCCCTATAATTACTGTTCATTAACTATTTATATTTTTTTCCATCTTCGTCCGCCAAGGCCTCTTTTGACTTTTAGCAAACTTTATTTTTATTTTGGTCCCTGTTTTATAATTTTTTTTCTTTTAATCATTAAAATTTTATTATATTTGACTTTTGTTCCTATCATAAATTTTTTTTTATTAGCCTTTAGTAAAAATTTATTTTTTTTCCTATTTTGTGATGTATTTTTATTTTAGTCATTAAAATTTTATCATGTTTGGTTTTTATCTTTATTATACTAAAATCAAATAAAGTTTCACTATCCTAAGTTTTTTTTTCTTTTAGTGAAACTTTTCTTTCTATTATAATTCCTATTTTGTGATTTTTTTCTTTATTTTGGCCATTGAATTCAGTATTTTTTTTTATTTTAGTCCCTATTTTGTAATTTTTTTAATTTTAATCATTAAATTTTTATTATATTTGATTTTTTTACCTACAAAGAACTATTTTTTACGTTTAGTAAAACTTTTTGTTATGTGTTGGTTTTTATTTTGTGATCTTTCTTTTATTTTGAAATTAAACACAGTTTCACTATTCTAAGTATTTTTTTTTTTTTTTTTTTTTTGCTTTTAGTAAAAAAACATTTTTGTTTTGGTTCTTGTTTTGTGAATTTTTTTATTTTGGTCATTAAAATTCTATTATGTTTTACTTTTGTTCCTGCCTTACGTATAATTAATTTTTTTTAGTCTTATTGTTTATAAGTTTTTTTTTTTTGGCATTTAGTGAAAGTTTTTTATTTGTTTTGATCCTTCTTTTATGATCTTTACTTTGTTTTAACCATTTAATTTTTATAGTATGTAATTTTATCTCTGTTTTTATTTTTTTTTTGCCAAATTCTTGATTTAATAAAGCTTTTTGGTCTTTTGGTTTTGTGAGGTCTTTATATCAAATTAACAAGTTTTTTTTTTAATTTTTTTCACATGATTTTTTTAAATAATTATTTTTAAATTTTAAATTTTATATAAATAAATATATAAAAATATTGTATAATTCATTCCGGGGTAATGTACTGGATAAATGCTAGTGGAATCCTAATCGAAATGGTTTTGATATCATTCAATCCGGTTTCGTTTTATTAAGTGAAAATTATATCCTCGTTAAAAGAATTAGAATAAGAGGTTCCGCATCTTTTTAGCAGAGGACATATTTGATCCCAACTATCACTTTATTTTGTCGATTGACTCGCTAAATAATAATCTTTCTAATTAGGTTCCTATCTATATGTCCAATAGACTCTTATTATCTAGATCTGTTATCATTCCGTGGCGTCGTTTTATTTGCTAAGTTTTTCATTTTTCTATACAACATATGTTTATTTTTTCCATTAGATCAACACGAAATATGCATTTTCATCTACAAAAGATACTGTACCTAAATTTTATATACTATTTGAGTTCAATTAGAGAAGAATTAACTCATAGAAAAAAACTCGGTGTGTTTGATGCTTTTTTTTTTGTGATAATAATAGTTATATTGATAATTATTGTTATTTTATTAGCAAATATTGGTTTGTGTAGTGAGTTAATGGTGACTTGATTGAAGTGATCACAAAAGTATAGTACTCATAAAAATAATCAGAATATTTAAGATTATAAAAATAATAAGTTATGGTAGCAAAATTAATGAAAATTATAAAACAAACTAAAGTAAAACATGGTTTTACTATTCATTTTCACTATTTAAAATTCTATTTATACACTCACAAATCACTATTCTTTTCACTATTCATGTCAATTTTTTAACACTTTGATCCTCAATTTTTCTATTTTTTTTTTCAATTTCAAATTTTAATTGTATTGTGATTTGGTTCCATTTTGTTTTAGTGTTTTCTTTTAGTTATTTTTATTATTTAGAATTTACTACTTTAATTTGTCATTTTTTTAACATAGTCATATGTTATTAATATTATGATCATATTATAATAATATTATTTTTCTACACTAAGCATTTACTATTTATGTTTTAATTAAATAATTAAAATAATATTTTAGCTTAGCCACTTAATGATTCAGATTAATATATTTTTTATTTTAATATTATTCATTATTTTGTAAATAAATATATAAAAATTAAATTTATATTTTTTTAAAAACCGATATTCTCATCAAAATTAAATAAAAAAAAATTATTTGTTCAATTCTATGTAAGCTTTTAATAATTATTCTTTATGTTTTTTGACACAATCTTATGAAATACTAAAGCTTTTTTTAAAAAAATTATTTAATTTTCTTTTTAGTTAATAATCCATGGATTAACAAGGATAAATCATTGTTCTAAAAGAAAAATTATGAAAAACACAAATAAGAAATAGTTAAATACGAAATTTTTTATTAAAAAATTATAATAATATTATTTTTTCTACACTAAGCATTTACTATTTATTTAATTATTTTTGAATTAAATAATTAGAATAATGTTTTGGCTTAAACACTCAATGATTCAAATTAATATAGTTTTTTATTTTAATATTATTCATTCTTTCATAAATAAATGTATAAAAATTAAATTCATATTTTTTCAAAAATCGATATTCTCATCAACATTAAATTAAAAAAAAACTATTTGTTCAATTCTATGTAAGCTTTTAATAATTGTTATTTATGTTTTTTGATACAATCTTTTGAAATACTAAAGTTTTTTTTTAAAAAAAATTATTTAATTTTCTTTTTAGTTAATAATCCATGGATTAACAAGGATAAATCATTTTTCTAAAGAAAAATTATAAAAAACACAAATAAGAAATAGTTAAATATAATTTTTTTATTAAAAAAATATAATAATATTATTTTTCGACACCGAGCATTTACTATTTCTTTATTTATTTTTGAATTAAATAATTAAAATAATGTTTTGGCTTAACCACTCAATGATTCAAATTAATATAGTTTTTTTTATTTTAATATTATTCATTCTTTTGTAAATAAATATATAAAAATTAAATTCATATTTTTCAAAAACTGATATTTTCATCAACATTATATAAAAAATTTATTTATCCAATTCTATATAAGTATTTAATAATTGTTATTTATGTTTTTCGACGCAATCTTATGAAATACTAAAGCTTTTTAAAAAAAAATTATTTAATTTTCTTTTTAGTTAATAATCTATGGAGTAACAAGGATAAATCCTTTTTCTAAAAGAAAATTTATGAAAAACACAAATAAGAAATAGTTAAATACAAAATTTTTGATTAAAAAATTATAAATAAATTTTTTCACTTTTGATTTTATATATTTTTATAGATTCACACTATAAAATAGATTATCAAACTGAAATAATTTCTCTAAATGATTTTATATATTTTATCCAATCTAGCACGTAGCACTCGGTAAAAAAAATAATGACATCTAGATTAAAAGAGATATCTACAAGTAATACTGAAGTGACAATAAAAGTAGTGATACATATGGGGCGATATTGATATTTGATAGTGGTATGATATCATGTAAATTATTAAACCAAAATCAAGAACCCAAAAACCATTATTTTGTTTGAAAATTATTCAAAAAAAAAAAGAGAGAGAGAGAATAGTTCAACTAAATATGTTTTTTTTTTCAATGAAAAAAATACAACAATGCTGATTACAAAATTTAATTTTTCAGGTTTCTGCTTTTGAAAAATTAAATATTATACCGATGTTAACAAAATGAAAATACAAATAAGTTTATAACATATAACGATGAATTGAGAAAATAAAATAATTTTTTACACGTTTTGAAATAATATATTAT